ATTAAAATTCACAGGTGACCCATTTTCGATTTCTTGTCTACGTTTCTTAATGATACCATCTACTATACCATTAAAAATTACGTTATCTTTCATTAAGGTTTTAAACCCAAGCATAACAATATCCTCCACACATTTAGGTACACACAACATAAAACAAAGCAGTGAAAGATATTGTGGAGCTGCTTTAGCAAGTTGTAAGGACTCTTCAGCTAAGAAGGTTGATTTATTTTTATCGATAATATCAAATAAAGCTAAACTATATGATGGACGTCCGACGAGTGTTAAGGATGATACATCCATTTTATAACAAGACATCCACTCAGAAAGATCAAATGTTACATTATTCTTTCCATCCCACTGCTTTTCAGCTCTCTTAAATATTTCCTGAACAGAATCTATAAAACCATATTGGAATTTTTTTGACATTAAGATTTTCGTAAGAAATTGTCTGTTTCGTCTCCATTTATGATAATCAATGTTAAATATCAAGCTGTATGTAGCATTAAATTTCTCAGAACCGGAAAAGCTACGCTTAAAAAATTTTGATCTTTCAGATGGTTGATAAATATTTAACTTTTCTAAATAGTCACTGTTTTGAACAGCCACAACTCGAAAATGTCCAAAGTAAAACTCCCACAAATCTACAGATTTTTTAAGATGCTTAGCAGCCCATCTATTAGGGTCCATCTTAATCTGAAGTAATGTACCAATAAGTGGTAGCGGAAACGGGCCAGGAAGTGGATTTGAACGAGTAAAATAACAATAGTAAAAACGTAAAATATAGAAACAAATAAGTAACCCAATAAAGGTTATTATCGCCGCCATTATTTTCAATGACCAAATTTTTTAAAATATGAAATATTTTTAATAGTAACGTGTCAGTATACATAGGATCATATTTATAGCTTTCTACTATCGTCTCAATCAGTTGTTTCAAAAGCATAAATAAATTTTCTTTTACTCTTTTTTTTAATCTTTGTACGTACGTAGATTGATACAGAGGCAGTGAATCGGATATCATCTCACGATGAGTAAAATATTGATGATTGTTGTACAAAGGATAAAAATTTTAGTAACGAGCCGATTATTAGCGTAAAAAAACAATATGCAATAGTTAATATTGCCTTTTTTATACAATATACATTTATAAAGTAATTCTTGGATTTTATACTGCAAGTATCGTTAAAGATTGAGACAGATATAGGGTGCATTTATAGAGAGAGAGGGTTCACGTAATAAAATATTGTTTATAGGTACGTACTACAGTACTACGTACGTACAATACTTTGTGAAAGGGTAGATTAGCACCTGATTGTTGCTGCAGTTTCCGAGGTAGAACAATCATTGAATCCCGAAATCCCTTAAATCTTTTATTTTTTGAATTCGTAGTATAGTGAAGTCCCCTTGAGCGTTATTTAAATTATGGCCCGAATTAAGCTTAATTTAGGCAAAATTTTGAAATTATACCCCGTGTGTTATTTCGCGACAATGCGGTATAATGTTTGCGATCCGAGTTACAAGAATCAATTTAAATTTATTGATCTCAATTTATATAGCAAGCACGTAAGTTAATATAACTAGCACATTGTGCATATCTACCTGTCTAGTTGCTATCCGTCATAGCATATACCATTATTAATACACACAACTTTCCGAATCAGAATATAGTTAACACTTGATAGCTCCTGTATAAACTAGACTTTTTAAAATATTTACTAATAAACCCTAAGGGTTCGTGACCGATACGGAGGCCGTCTATTGATTTCGGAAATTTGCGTCACAAATAATCGGACCTCTCTGTAGGGACCAAACTTTGACAACGTGCTAAAAAATAAAAAATTTTTGTGTGCATTTTTTAGGGTTAGGGGTGAGGATTAGAGGTTAGTTTTAGGTTATAATTTATAATAAACAAGTATAGGTGGTTTTAGGTGGTTAAATAGAAACTTTTATTTCATTTAATTATGATCTGCGACAAGAAACACCTTTATGGAGATCATGTATTTATTTGGGTCGAAATTAGAGTGCCGTACGTATGTACGTACGTATATGTTTCGGTAACGGATGAACAGCAGCCAATTAAATGATAATAGCTAGTCTAAATCAAGACAAATTACTTTTTAAATAATAAAAATAATGGGACAATGGGTAATTATAGTATTTCATTCATCTTGCCTTGCGTGATTAGGGTAGGCATTTCAAAAGGTTAAATTGAGTAAAAAAGATAAGGTTTGCTTTAAAAATCACATCCTTATTAAGCTATGTGTGTACGTACATATGTAACACGAAAAGAGTAAAAAAATTATTTAAAAATGAAGTTTATTAATTGTTAATTGACAATAAATAAATTCGGAATTAAATAAATTATGTAACGCGTATCATTGATTATTACACAATGAAGATAGTTCCCTAGTTTTATTTTGTTATTGTTTTGTTATTGTTTGTTTTTGTTTTGGCGCCATCTATTTTTAAATTGATCTTGCCTTAAGTTAGTATTTTTTAATAGGGTGATTAAAACCTAATGCTCATGGTTTCCGATTTCGAATTAAATTAGTGAGTAATTATTTTGAAATCATGATTCGTAAATTTGATTTGTTAGCTTATTATATAATAATAATTAATACTTTTACGATCGTGAATTTTCTTTATTAAATTATTATGACTACATCATACAATAACAATATCTCATCAAAAAACTACTCATTTCATCTCCGAATATCACCTATTTCATTTTCTGATTTCAAATTTTCAAAATAGAAATAGGACGTTTTAAACTCCTATTTAATTTTGAAATAGGTTAACTTTGAATCACCCTAATATAATCATTTTAATATTACATTTAGTTTTATCAAAATTTTTATTAATCAGAATTGGACTAAATTTACATAGTTTACAAAGAGTATATGTTAAATTTAGATTAATTAAGAAGGCTAATACAAACATAAGAAGTAAAGTAAACCAGTTGAAAGACAGAAGTAAAATAAAATTATATTAAATTCAGAATCATGCTGCATAAAGTCTTTTATCTTCTTCTCCCTGGGTTGTCTAAAGCTTGATGCGTAGTACTGTATTTTATATTTTTACATGTGGGAACCCCAGCAAAAGGAGGCAGTGGACAAAAAATTTTGATTTTTTAATTTTAAAAAATTATATTTCTAATACTTCAATGCTTCTGGAAATTAAAGTTTAAAAAAAAAACTTTTTTTTTGCCCACTGCCTCCTTTTGCTGGGGTCCCTGCATAATGAATATAAAATCTATCCGGTCTTATGTTTACAAAAAAAAAATTTTTTTTTTAAAGTGAACTTATAAATAATTTGTCAATTATCTGTTTTTATCGTTATCGCATGTTACTTAATCGTACTAGATTACATACGACACATGAAATCTAAAAACCACAATTAACATTATAGTGACAAATATAAGCAGTGAAATTAAATATATGGGGGGCGTCAGTAGAAACCAAGCAAATCGAAAATTTTTCAAAAATGCTTTTTTTATTTAACTAATATAAAAATTAGTGAACATTTTTGACTTAGTAATGGGCTTCATATTAATTAATAAAAATTTGAGATATTTGAGTTTAAATAATTTGGCCGGAAATAGATCATCCGATCTTAGAGTCTACTGACCCGATTTACGTTACACAATTGATGATCACCTTGATCGGATAAGTACTTGTTATCGGTTATGTTGTAGACGATAACTGATTATCGTTGGGATATAATGTGGAGCCCGTGCCGCTTCGCGTCACGGGCTCCACGTTATAAATCTCGACGATAATCAGATTTGTCGTTTGCAATTTAACTGATAACACGGTTATCCGATGCTTCTGACGTAAGCACTAACCTTTTTCATATATATATGATCACTTTCTAATCACGTTCACACTTTCGCTCATTTTCTCTCTCAAATACTTTCTTTCGCACATACATTTTTTCTAAAAATATATATATACACTTGAATAGCATATGGATTTTACTCAAGCTTCGCAGCTTCCAACCCAAGACGAAATAAGCCAACTACAAGATGCGTCGCTTGTGACAAATACTGAAAGAAATATGTCAAAGTGGATTAGAACTTTAAATCGGTTCAACAAATGTTGTGGTAAAACCAAAACTATCGAATTAATTGATAGTATTGATGAGCTTGAAACTTACTTGTGTCAGTTTATAACTTGGTTGAAGAAAGAGGATGGTTCGGATTATAAGGTGGAGTCAATTCACAATTGTTATAGTGCTATTAATCGATATCTTAAGGAATATAGTATTATACAACCGGTAAAAATCTGGGACCGTTATAAATTTCCTCGTTCTCTTCATACGCTTGATTGTAAAATGAGATTGTTACAAAGCAAAGGATTGGGCGATCCAAAAAAATCAGATGGATTATCTTCGGAAGAAATTGAACAAATACTTAACCACTCATATATGGACATAAATTCAAATGAATCACTTTGCTGCCGTGTCTTTTTTTGGTTATGCATACTATGTGGATTACGTAGTGGTGATGCATATTGTCTTAACAGAAGTGATCTTCAACGCCATCATGATGGTGGATTGGAACTTGTATTAAACAAAGAAAAAAATAATCAAGGCAGGGCTTTTTATCGTAACAAACATGGAAAAACAGGCTCAAGGCATATTCCTATACCTCCTGACTTGAATACTAATTGATATACCCCAGTTAAAGATATTCTCCTATTTTTATCTAAATTACCTGAGTCGTCATCATCGCAAGATCCATTGTTTCACAAAACCTGTAAAAGGCAACAAGGTAAAGATTATGCATGCATGTACTATATATAAGGTTTTTATTCTAATTTTTTTTTTATATCGATATTAGATTTAAAAAAAGGCCATTGGTTTAAAAGCAATCGTATGCGTTACGGTAAGCTTCGAAAAATGATGAATGATATTGCAACAAGTACTGATATCAATCTTGATAATGGTAGATTGATTACTAATCACTCTTGTTGTCATACTGCAATTCAACTTTTAAAGAATAATAGTGTTCCTGAATCCGAGCTTCAAGCATTTTCCGGACATCGTTCTTGTGAAAGTTTGGCAGATTACTGCCAAACTAGTGATGATCAACGTATAATGAATACCGCAATGCTAATTCCTTTTTCATCGCAAGATCTTGATTTGGATGAATATGAATATGACAATTTTTATGGAGGATTTCCGGATGAAGAACTGGATTCTGATAATGGGCCTTATGGTAAGAATTTGTGCAATAACGATAACGATAAGAATTTTTAAGTATTTAATTTATTTTATATTTATTTTTATTTTTATTCACAGATAAAAATAATGATTCGGTTCAATCAATTTCTACAATTCAAGAAAATCAAGCACAAAATTTGACCGAAGCTCAATTATCAGCCACAGACTCTCAATATTCAAACATAACCAAAGAAATTCCATCATCAACTCAATCTCAAAGTGATACTATCATACATTCTGATTTCATGGCAAAGGAAATTAAAAAGTGTATGCAAAAATTTTATTAAAAAATTTTTTTTTCGAACTACTAACAATTTTTTTGCTTTTATTTACATGTTAAATAGCAAGCCAAGTTTTAAGAATACCTAAGATAAAACCACACACAAAAAGTAGCTCATACCCGACTTCATCTGTAACTACACCCTTCAAGCCACCATATCCGCATAATTCACCAATGCTTGAATTGTATGGAAAACGTAGAAAGCCATTATCTAGTGTCAATAACATTGTTATTCAACTTCCTCCGGGTACTTCACAAAGTTATAACCTAAATATAAACTTGAAAATAAATTAGATTTTATTTTTATGTATTTTTAAATTCATTAATAAATTTAAAAATGCTTGGCTTATTGTGAAATTAAGTGCTATTTTAATAAAATTGACAAAAATTTGTGTATCGCCAAATATAAAGTGAGCGAAAATTTGTGTATTAGTGATTAGAAAGTGACGAATAATGTATATGAAAAACGTTAGGTGCTTACATAGGAAGTGTCGGATAATGCCATGTAACAAGGTCGACTAGATCGGGCTGTCAATCATTGTTTATGTGAGTTTGTATAACACAACAAAAAAATCACGTTATCTCAAAAACACAAATTTGTCAATTTGCTTGGTTTCTACTGACGCCCCCCATATTACTGGAGTCGATAATTTAAGAAAAATTAAATTTTAATGCATAACTTGACTATATATTTCATAGGTTTCATTACAGATTACAAAGCAGTAAATTTAAAAACCACTAAATTTTACATGTGCATTTTGCCGCAAGTAATAGCAAATTAGTAAAAGTTCAACCGATCTAGTTTTTTTTTTTACGTTGCTCCTGATCTAGCTGCAATTAATTACCCATCTACAGGTATTTTTTTCTATTGCTATGGTAAAATCACAAATCAGCAAATATTTATATTTTACTTCTTATAGAATATCCATTAAAATTTTAAAACACTTAAATTATTTGAAAAAATACTAAAATTATGTAAATTTTTCTTTATTTAAAGTTTAAACACAAATTTTTTAATACCAACTATCTGAATTAAATAACTTTTTTATTTTAATTCTAGGCATTATAGATTAGAATAAAAAAATTAGAGTTGATCTTTAGTATAACTAGGCAATATAGAATTATTATAAAATTATAATATTAATAAATAACTATTTAACCTAATTTAAACAAATTTAAGAATAGTTAGAGTTATAGTAAGGTTTATAGTTTATATTAAAGTTAAATTAGAGTTAGAGTTTTTTTCTTTTATAATCTTATAATATTTTTATATTGCCTAGCTAAGATCCAAAATTTATTGAATTTGAATAGTAGGTTGCTGAAAAATATTTATTAAATGCTAAAAAAAAAGTTAACTACAGTTTCTTTTTTAAAGATACTAAAAAGTTAAACAAAGATTACATAATATTTACCTAGTCAAATTCAACAAAAATTTTTTATTTTGATTTTATGAGCATATAGAATTAAAATAAAAATTTAATTAGATAAGTGTTAAGTAATTATTGTTTAAAATTTAGGTGCCTATAAAAAAAAGCTAAACCAAATTTTTTTCAGCTTTTAATAAATATTTTTTAACAAATAGCTATTCAAATTTAGTCAAATTTTTTTTATTTTAATTTTATAAACTATTAAAATTAAAAATAAAAAAATTCATCTAATTCAGATATTTGGTTGTCAAGAAATCTTCTTTTAAAGTTTAAATAAAAGGTTTGTTATAATATTTTTAAAAAAACTTTTTTAAAACTTTGAATAATGATTTTATAACAACCTACTATCTGAATCTTTATTTTATCCCATATTAGCGGATTTGTGGAATTGGTTCTGAATTGTTTCTTAATTAATCCTCAAAGTCATTTGCAAAGTGAACTCCAAAGTTTGTATATAGCAAACAAGTGTATATAGAAAAATAATTTAAGGGGTAAATAGATACAATTACAAATATCATTATATCTATTTGCTCTTTAAATTATCTTAATATGTATGTATATTTGTTTGCTACAAAATGGTATATAACTTTGAGGATACAATTTAAAATCAATTTAGGACCAATTTTGCAAATTAGCTGATATGCTAATTCTAAAAGTTTTTAGAATTAAAATAAAAATTTTTAATTTTTAATCAAATTTGAATAGCTAGTTGTAAAAAAATATTTATTAAAAGCCAAAACAATTTAGCAGTAGCCTTTTTTTTATGAGTATTTAAACTTTAAACAATAATTACTTAATACTTATCTAGTCAAATTTGACTAAAATATTTTTATTTTAATTCTATATGCTTATAGAATCAAAATAAAAATTTTGGTCAAATTTAATCATGTAATATTTGTTCAATCTTTTAATATCTTTAGAAGAAAGAATTAGAAGAGAAAAAAGAGATTCTGACATGGTATACAACAACCAATCAAATGATCGAGAAGTATCTTTTGTTGATACAAAATCTGAAGTAAGTTAAAAAAAGTTTGCAATTAACTTTTTTTTAGCTTTTAATAAAAATTCTTGACAACCTGCTATTCAAATTGACTAATTTTTTATTTTAATTCTATGAATGTCTAGAATTAAAATAAAAAAAGTTAGTTAAATTTGAATAGCTGGTTATTAAAAAATCTATGTTTAAAGTCTAAATAAAGAAATATTCATATTATTTTAGTATTTTTCCAAAATAATTTAATTGCAACTAGATAGTAAAACATATTACAGATTATTTATAGAAATTTGAGTTTTTCAAATATTATTCTAAAATTAATTTCAATTTAAAAAACAAAAGATTTTTTATTATCTAAAAATAACAATCAGTTTTAAAAAATCTTTAAAATTTTTTTACAAATAGTACTATTTTTGAATAAAAAATTATACAAAAATTTTTGAGGTGGCTTATATTGAAAACAAATTGATTTTTAGTTATTTTTTATTAAGTAAAGTAGATATTATATATAAAAGTCAAAAAATTATATTTAGTATTTAATAAAAGTTATTCAAAATATAAATTATATATATATTTAGTTTTATACAATTTGGATAAGTTTTTATTAGAAGATTTTTGCATTTTAAGTTTGAACTTAAAATGCAAAAATTTAATAATAAAAGTTATTCAAATTGTATAAAACTTTCAATATATATGTTGTGCGTCAAATTAAAACTTGCATCAGATTGCAAATAGCCTAAGTTAGATTAGGGTTAGAGTAATATTTCAGTAAAGTTAGGAGTTTTTTTAGGCCTATCATTGCCAATTATTTAATGTTGGTCAACTGATTGCAATCTGATACAGGTTTTAATCTGACACAACATATATATTTATATTTTGATCAGCTTTTATTAAGTGCTAAATATAGATTTACTTGATATAATTTTTAATATATACACATTACTCTAGTTATATTGACATTTTTGAGACATTAGTAAAAAAATTAAAAATGTCGGTACAGTGAATTATACTGATATTTAATATTTAATTATTGAAAAAAATGTTGGTATAGAAAGATTTTACTATGATGTTGTTATATCCAGATATTGGTATAACCAGAGTGATGTGTATATATATTTTAACACCCTTTCCAAAAAAGGATATCAGGAGGCATAATTTTATTTAATACTTTATTAAGATCAATTACATGATTATATGCATATTATTTTGTAACTAATTATCTAGAATCTTACCTAATATGAAAAGTCTCTGAATTTTTATCTTTTTAATATCATCTTTATATTTTTTTACTAGTATGATTCCACATCCAACACTCTAGTACCCAACTGTGTTACAGTTTTACACAGCTTATCTTGATTCAAAACACTATACTGGCTAGTTTCTTATGCCCAATTCAGGTTTCTATATTTTAGTTCAACTCAACTTGCACTCCAACAAGCTGCTATACTACACTTCTGTACTGTTACAATTCACGTTTTTGGATCCTAATATCCTACTCCAACTTGCTATACTCATAGTTTTACTCAGCTTGACCCCAATAAACTCTATACTAGAGATTTTGTATAGCTACAATTTGGGCTTATGTTATACACTTTGCCCTGATTCAAGATGTCATACTATGTGTCTCAACTGGAATAGCATAGATCTTGTACTACAATTCTAGTAGCTGTGCTTATTAAATCTTCAATCACAATTCTAATAAATTCAAATCTTCTGCTTAGATTTGAACTCACAATCTTACAATTGGTGATCTGGGAATGTAAACCCTCAGGTCCAATTTTGAATTTTATATATAACAACACAGGTCGAAAGATAAAAAATTAGGCACAAATCAGGTACCCGATTTTAAACTGATTACTACCTGATTACCACCTGA